ACTAGTGAAGCGAGGCTAAGACACTTTAGTTATTTTATACTCTATTTCATTGTTCTTTTATGTTTTGTAATTTGCAATTAGCCTCCGGGCACGAATTTGCAATAAACTTTTCTAATTATGGGTTAACATGCGACCTAAGAAAGAATTCCCTACCTTTCACATCCACCATAGTTGTTGCCATGGCCTCGGAGAAGCTGGGGTCAGATGAGGACGCCACGCACTTGTAGGTCCCCTCTACACTGTAATCCACGCTGTTGAACTGGAGGGGGTTCGGGAGCGGCCTGAGGGGGGGGGGCAAAAGACACGATCTTAATCTTAGAAAGACCCCTGTATTAATTTGCATGTTTTCGCAGAAGGAAAATATATTGTTCCAAACACATAAATTTTCTGGACCAGACGGCGGTAACGTTTGCTGAAGAATTGATTAACCCTGTGACATTGGAAGACATTATGTAGCAAGTGATAGGACAGAGGTTGGGGGTGGTCACCATACTCGTATATACACCACAATTGAAAGCAGCCATTTGATAGGCTATATTAAAAATTACACATTTGCTTTACATAAAGCCAAGTGGATTGACATCTTATATACAATGAATGCAGTAAAAATGAAATATATTTTCTTTGTGAATACCTCAGTCAGAAGCTGAAGTTTTAAAACATCATCCTCCGAGATTTTACCATCAAGAAAACCATCTACAAACATACGTATACCTTGTACTGAAAGCACAAAGTCCACTTATCATCAAACTCATAGGACGATTCATACATTATACAAAGACAAATGTACGTAGAAATATCAGATAGATGAATAGACTAGACTTTTTTCATGCCTATTTAAGTTATCCTATCTATGTGTATTTCCTTGCAATTAGCTTTCGGGCATGAGTTTGTAAATAAGATTAGGCCTTGTTGATTTGATTATGGGTGTCAACCGCGCGCGCACGAATTTCCCAACAAAAGTGTCCGATCATACTGTAAATCGTACAAAGCAGCTAGAACTAAGCAAAAATGTGCCGTAACTTGCAAAAAAATATTGGAAAACGATACTAATGCCGTAGAGTGCCAATGTCTAGGAAGGGGGAAAATGTGAAGAAATGAAAATGAAGAGTCTATCATTCGCCATATCATACTCATAATGTTTTAGTCATTTATTCAACCTTCATCGCCACGTAGATTTCATGATAAAGGTAATTTTTTTGCCAAACCATGTTCATTCGCCGGAGGATGCCATCCATATAATCAAATCAACAAGGCAATTATTGTATATAATGAAACATAATGAAAAACACTTACTTGGAGTCTCCGTCCTTCTGCCACACGACCTTCGGGGGCGGGTTACCGTCCGCGGTGCACAGAACATTCAGGGGCTGCTTAGCCTGAACCTCCAGGCTTGGGGAGGGGGGCTGCAGTATTACCGGGGCATCTGAAATGAAAATAATCAGAGATATGCTTAGCTTGGTATCCAGTCTATCGTGGTTAGTGCAGGCTGTCTTCGGGGCTCTGATAGTTCTCCTCCCGTCCAGCTGAACAGACCGCCCGGTAGGAGTGTTACACCTGTAGGAGTTTTGCTTGCCAGGAGTTTTGCTAACTGAACTCACGTCGCGCAAAACCTACCGGGGAACCTAGCTGAGTCGGGCGGAGTAGAGCTACTGCAGCCCCGGAGAGAACCCGGCCCAACCGCGATAGACTGGATACCAGGCTATTAGATGAGCACATCCGCCCACAACTAGCTAGAACCAGCCTATGATGCAAAACAAGCAGCCGCTTTCCGTCAGTGACTCTTTGCCGCACAGATTTCAGTATGCTATAGGATAGGGTTCAGTCAACTTACCCATCTGAATCAATGAAGAGGTTGGTGGGGGAAGATCATTATATATCTAACACAAAAGGTCCACTGCAGCAACATAGGGACCCCCCACGAGACCCGTTTTCGAACTTGACCTTGGCCTCTACAATGGCAACTTGCCTACCAAAAATCATGAACATCTATTTAAACATACTCGAGTTATTTTGCTAACAAGCCACAAACACAAAAGGTCTAATGCAATGACGTACAGACCCCCCACGATGCCCAAACTTGCACTTGACTTTGGCCTTAACAACGGTAATCTGCCTGCCAAAAATCATGGACGTCGAATTATGCCTTCAATAGTTATTCCGCTAAATCCGCAGTCACCCACCCGGAACAATTCCATAGTCATTCTGACGAAGACAATAATGACCAGAAAATTGACTTGTGACCCTGCAATTGCATCCGATGTCTTTGGGGGAAGAAAGGAGACTGGTGGTCTGGTTTTACGTTACTGGACTTGACAATACATCAGCGATTGTGCCAAAGGTATAACAAAACATTAATGTAACGGTCCAAGCCTCGCTGGAACCTTGCCAACATGCACATCCATCCGTCAGCTTCATTAACGGTCCATTTAACTGTTCCAGCAGCCCGTGACATTTTCTGCATCATTTTGGAATCCTATGCGGAACGGTTTCAGGTTTTATTGGGAAAGGGACTCGCGGGCCCGGGTAGCCCAAATTACGCCCAATTTTTTTCCTCCCATTTTATACATATTTCAGCTAAAATCATAAATTTCCATCTCCCGTTGCACACATATTCCAGCCAAAAACCTTACATTTTCGTCTCCCATTTCAGATATTTTAGCTAAAATCCTACGTTTCCCATAATTTTACACAGAATTTCATTTTCTTAAAATCCCCACGAGAAATCTTTCTTTATTCTTTATTTCAGGCGCAAATTGGCCCATAGTAGACAAACAATTAAAATAACAAGGTGCACACATAGTAAAAACGGTAGGGTTCGGTACATATACATACGAGAAGGGCCTTACCGGTAGACTAGGCCGATATAGTGACCCCAGTAGTGACTGGTGGATGATAAGTCTGACTGAGTGGATTGCGAGTTTTATGATACTGTTATTACTGTTGAGGAGCCGATTGGTGAAAGAGTGTGTTAGTTTACGTCTGCGAGCATCGAAGGTATCGACAACCTCAGTCACAAACATTCGACTGGCGCTCTCGAATTTTCCATGAAATACATGGGTATTGAGAGTTGACATTCGGGTGCCCTCCCACAGCCCCACCCATCAGTATTCACGGCCCGCTGCCCACGACCCGGTCAAAATGAGTCCAGCGCCAATTTACTACGAGTAGATTTTACCAGATCAAGCATTTATGGGCTCCGCTGCCTGGCATATCACGTCCTGACATGATTCAAATTAGCTGTAAGTGTTATATAGTCTATCTTGCCTTCGCTTTATTGCACATCTGACTGACGTATTGACCGATGGCAACAAATAGCCCGTTCCCCCGCTGATGGAGTTCAGCAGAGCGGCTACCATGCGTCAAACAAGACTTCAGAGATCACAGACCTCCGTCAAACCATGATGAACAAGTCACGGCTTTTTAGAGGGGGTGAAAAAAGAGCTCCATTTGCCTAGACGACTACTGATGCAACGTAACCCGTCTTCAATCTGCTTCAGTTTAATCCCCTAATTTATTGTGCAACGAAAAAACAACAGCTGTTAAGGAGGTCATGTAAGTAAAAGACGTGTAGAAAAACAGCGAGCGCTACGGAATGTACAAGTGATTAATGTCTTTTTCATTGTCCTGGGACAGACTAAACCCAACTATATCCATTACAACCTGACGTAAGGACCATGCGGAAACACAAACACACACACACACACACGCGCGCGCACGTACCAAAAACAGAACCTTCATTCTCACGAAGGTAATAACCGCTGACATGGGACAAATAAGCTATTGTTGATTCATTCATTCATTCATTCACTCACTCATTCATTCACTCACTCATTCACTCATTCATTCATTCACTCACTCACTCACTCACTCATTCATTCATTCATTCACTCATTCATTCACGCATTCATTCATTCACTCACTCACTCACTCATTCTCATCCATTCATTCATTCACTCATTCATTCATTCAATCATGCAATGATACTTACACAGGACGTTGACCGTGGCGTTTTTGGAGCTCTCGTACGGGTTCCCGTTGATGACGTTCCTGGCCGTGCAGGTGTAGTCTCCCGAGTCGGTCCGGCCCAGGTTGGTCAGGGTGAGGGACGTGTCGTCCGTCACGCTGTTGTTCGGCAGAGAGTCGCCGCCGGACGCGCGGGTCCAGGTCAGCTCGGCGGGAGGGTTACTGTCTGCCGAGCAGGTCAGGGTCACGGTGTCCCCCTCCCTGGTTGTCACGGCGCTGGTGGTCACAGTCACCTGGTCCACGGGATC